TTGTATGATGCCTCTAAACTTCATGCCTGGTCAGATGCCCTCTGGCTTCAGTGGGCCAGCTGTGGCACCCAGTGGTCAGGAGAAGAGACTATGACTATCTTGGGCTCCATAGACCTTGGAGCATCTTCTTGACTTCATAGCCTTCCATGCTCCCTGGCCTCTTCTAAGTTCTTATGTGAACTCCTTCCCTGCTTAGTCAGCCAAGGTTGCAGTCTCCGCTCTCAGCTAACAGGCACTGATTTCCCAGTCGTTTAATGTTTTGTTGTATTTTTGTTGTATGCTCTTTACTTCTGTAGAAGATGGAAGAAAAGCCATGTGATGGCAATAGCTAGCAGAAGGGTTTTTATACATATCTCAAATTCACATACCATAAATCAGTATATGTGTCACAGTATACACCGGCATTTAGAAAGCATTTGAAAAGCAAACTACCACAATAAGGATGTCAGTACACAGCGGGACAGCACGAGGTAGTGACTGAAGCTTCTCCTTCTGTCTTCTCTTGCTTGCCCCCCTCCACCCTGCTTCCCCCAGTGATCCAAATGATAAACAGAGAAAGAGTAGAGATAGAGATAGTGGTTTTGACAGCAATGCACAGTAATCAGTTTTTTTCTGTGTCTCATGTTAAGAGAAGATACAATTATAGATGTAGTTAGAGGCCAAGCAAAGGTGTGACTTCTCCCTGCCATCCTCTTGTGACCAAACAGCAGAAAACCACAGAGGCCAGAGCCTCTGATTTCTGGAGAAATGTACTAAGGCAGAAGTCAGATTTCCCTGTACCCCCAGCAGTCAATGGAGAGGAAATGAAGGTATGATCACATATCCTGTTCCAGTTGGCCCCATAGTGAGTGTTCTGCCTCTCCCGCCTCAGCTGCTGTGCTCAAGAGTTGCAGGAAGACAGTGAAGGATCTCAGACAGTCTTGTTGCTGCTCTCTATGCTGGGCGGGGAGGGACAGACACTGTAGAAAGTCCTTGTGTACTGGAAAAGGGGAGGACCTAGTGTTGTGGAATGTTACACTGTGTAGAGATGTGCTACATTTGTTTATGCTGAGCTTGCTTACAATGTAAAGACGTTGCTTTGCCTGCCTAAGGCTCCTGATCAGTCTAGTAAAGAGCTGAATGGCTAATAGTTAGGCAGTAGAAGGATTGGTGGGGCTTGTGGGCCGAGAGAATAAGTAGGAGAGAGAATCGAGGCTCAAGAGGAGATTAGAGAAAATGAGGGAGAAGGAGGGGGAAACACCTGGGCCCACCATCCAAATGCTAAGTGGGACATCCAGAATGAAAGAAAGGTAAAAATCTCTAAGGCAAAGCGCAGATGAAGAGAAACAGGTTAAAATAAGTTATAAGAGCCAGTAGGACAAGCATAAGACAAGGCTGAGCATTCAGAACTAATAAGTCTCCATGTCATAATTTGATAGCTGATTTGTGGCACAAAAGAAAGCCCGTTACAGCCTAGCTTCAGAAGTCAGACATGGTGTAGGTCTCCGTGGATCCCACATGGGTACTAAAGAGCTAGATACTTTCTGCCCAACCCCCCACCCAACGTATTATGACAGTCCGTGAGTGGCCATTTTCAACAAAAATACAGTCTAGGGAAGAAGTGCTCTTAGGACCATCTGGAATTTCAGAATGCTTACTCTAGTCAAAGTATAGATGAGTGAAGACAGTTATTGTCTCATAGAAATTTTTCTTGCTGGGCTTCCACCCCTAATTTCCACATTATGCTTAGAATAAAATCTAAAGACTTTAGATCCCAGCACTTGGGGTGTGGCATTAGTGAACGTGTCTTTGTGGTTTTGTAGTAAGGTGTTTATTCAGGTGTTTCTGTTCTGAAACTCTGCTGTTCTCTCTGAATTATAGCCAGAGCCTTTCATGTAGACCTATTATTACAGTGAAGTCCTTTATTTTCTTAGCAAAGGTGATATGTATATGTTTTATTTTAAGTTCTCTGGCCAAAAAACTGAGCTCTTACACTGGCGTTCTTATGCCAGACTTTGTTTTTAATGCAAATAATTTTGCATCTATCCATCATTCATGATTTCTGGTCTCCAACCAAAATTGGGGTCTACAACTTATGCATACAATTGGCTCCAGTATTGCATAGAAAAACCCTTCATTTTTTGCATTTATTTGTGTGTGTTTGTATGTGTGTGTGTCTACATGTGCTTGTCATAGCACACACGTGAAGGACAGAGGACAGCTTGCAGCGGTCTGTTCTCTCCAGGTGTGGTGACATCTTGCTGACCCAACACTTTTTATTTTTAAGGAGTTCTGTCTCAGGACTGTGTGGAGGGAAGCATGACCAGAGTAGAAGTTAGGCCGATTCCTCCTCACTTCCTTCTCCACTCCTATAAAAGAAAGGCTGTCTTGTGCATAGACTCATGTGGGAGATGTGCATGTGTGTGCATGCCAATGCATGTGCCTGTGTGCCCACATGTAGATAGGTGACTTACCCCGTCACTTTCCACCTTATTCTCTTGAAACAGGGACTCTCTTGAATCTGGAACTTGCTATTTTAAGGCTCAGTTGGCGGTCTGCCTTGTCTGTCTACCCTCTTGCTTCTGCCCCCACCCTCATAGCAGAAGGTGTAAGCCATGCTGGACTTCTGTGGGTGCTGGGGATCCAAGCTTGGGTCTTTATGCTTGGGAATCAAGTGCTCTTACCCACTTAACCATCTCCTCTGCATTGTTTTTTGGAGTTCAGCTTTATTCCTTGAATTTAGTTAATTGTATTAACTTTCCCTCAAGCCACTTTTGGATAAAGATAACCTGAAAAGGTGTTTATTAACAGTCCTTCAAGAATATGAGTTTTTAACACACGGGGCAAGAAATTCCAGGTTCCTGTTTGCATGTTCTAGCATGTGGCTTGTGTACTGACAGCAGTATTAAACTGCCAAGACGTCAGTTGGGAAACTCTAATTAGTTCTTTCTTGTTAACTGTGTAATAATCTTTCCAGGATGACATCCTGTCTGTGCTCAGTGTTTTCTATGTAGAATTTTGTGGACCAAAATTTTCTTTTCTCCTTTGTGTTCAGGATGCTACATAGTTCATGTCTTCATGGTCACTGGAGAGATCAGTGTTGTGGTACCTCCACCACCTCTGCCCTCCTCATCCCTCTTTCTTGGTAGTTGACCCTTTCCTCTGAGACTCCCCTCTGTTTTCAAGATACATCCATTTTGTTACTATTTTCTTCACTCCCTCACAGTCCCCTTTCTGCTTTTATGTCTAATGAGCCCCTCCTTGAGGATAACCCATACACTAATGGAAGAGGAAGCATTTCTGACACTTGTAAACACTGACGCTGCTCCCTGCAGTGCTCAGGAATGCATGCTTCCCAGCGCCAGGCATTTTCCTGGCACAAATGTCTGGTCAGCTCTAGACTGAGTATTCTGGGGGAATGCTCTGCAGGTCCCCAGAGTGTGGCCTTGATGTGGGTCTCACGCCCAAGTGTTCTGCTCTCTGAACTCAGCTGTCTTGCTCTCTCCTTTTGGTTCTTTTTGCTCACCCTGGAAAGTTGATGGGCTGGCTCCATCTGGGGTTCTCCTCCTATATACCCAAGGCTTTAAACTGTAACAATCAAAAGGCTTAGCCCACAGTGTTTGTTCTTTATGTTATAGTGGATGTGTGTGTGTGTGTGTGTGTGTGTGTGTGTGTGTGTGTAGTGTATGTGAGTATGTGGCTGCACACAGGTGAGGCCAGAGCAGGATGTCTGATGTCTTTCTCTGTTGCCTTCCATTTTATTGCCCTGCAACATGGTCTCTCATTGAAGCATATTTCAGCTGAAATAGCTGGCTGGCAGCTTCTAGGAACCATGTGTCTCTGCCCACAATGCAGGGGTAAGGTGGGGGATATATGTTCCAGGCATGTGCATCCAGTCCCAGCTTATTACGTGGGTGATAGGGAACTGAACTGAGGGCTTCATGCTTGCAGAACAAGTCATTTTTATTCACTAGACCAAGACCCATTTCTTATCTTGTTAGGGAAGGTTCTTTGCTTCATCTTGCTCAGAAATTTTAGATACAAAAGGTGGCAGTGGACCAACCAGTCCTTTCCTAGACCATAAGGAAATCACTGAGATGGTCCCTAGAGGCAGCATCACCCTGGGAAACATGGATTTACTTATGTGAGGGGCTCCCTTTGCACATCAGTGTTTTGTGCATCCTATTGCATGTTTGTGATCATTGGGAGCTTATCTTTTGTGCAATCATAGCACTTGTCACACTCATCGAATTTCTTTGTCTCTAAGAAATGCCAAGTAGCTATCTTCTTTCCTTCCTATTTTTTTTAATTGAATTGCTTTTCATGCAATGTAGCCTTCTCATGGTTTCTCCTCCTCTGTCTCCTTCCAGATCCTTCCCACTTCCCAACCCGTCTGGTGTAGGAGGTCCTTCTGTATTTGCGTTGCCTTCATTGGTTGAATAAATAAACTGCCTTGGCCTTTTGATTGGGCAGCCCTTAGGTGGGTGGAGAAGACAGAACAGAATTCTGGGAGGAACAAAGCAGAGATAGGCAGGCACCATGGTTCTCCTGCCCAGGACGGATGTTGGTTAGGCTCATGCCGGTAAGCCACAGTCAAGTGGTGATACGCATTATTAGAAACAGGTTAGATCGAGATGTGAGAGTTAGCCAATATGAGGCTAGAAATAATGGGCCAGGCAGTGATTTAATTAATACAATCTTTGTGTGGTTATTTCGGGGGTTAAGCTAGCTGGGCGGCAGAATGCAACCCACTCCTTACAACACCCGTCCAACTCCATGTCTTATTTCTCCCTCTGTCTTTAGAAAACAAACAGAAATAAACAACAAAAAACTGAAAACAAAGGAGAAAGCATGAGAAGCACAAGCACACGTAGACACACGCACACAGAACCCATAGAAACACAAAATTGGAACCGTAATATGATTGTCTTCATTATACAGTAACCATCTCTTGAATCAGCCCTTCAATAACTAACGATAACTATGCGTTACAGGAACATTTGTGCTCTTATTTTCTTCAGAGACTGCAAAAAGGATATTTCAAGAAAAAGGCATCCTGGCAGGAGAAAGCAGAAGTTTTAAGCCTCACTTGACCTTTATGAAGCTGTCAAAAGCACCAATGCTCAGGAAGCAGGTGAGTGCACATTTGTATCGTTGGACTTACTTTCCAGGGCACCCGGGCTTTAGCATGGTTGGTAGTGTGACATTTTGTATTTTTTGGCACCCTAACCTCCTTGTTCCTGGGACTTCAGGTCAATTCATTTCCAATCCAAGGGTGCTAAAGATCTCAGTGTTCCTAGGAGGCTATGACAGCCCTGCCTGATTTGCTGCATGGCTGTGGGCTGTGGTTTGCACACTAACACCCCTGGCGGCTGCTGCTTCTTTTGCGATTCCTCCCAGGAGGAGCCTGTAGATGGCGCCAGAGTTCAGTTGTTCTGCTTTCTTGCTTCTGCCTCCTTTAGCTCCCAGGGTTTCCTGCGCTAGCCTCTATTCACTTGCTGCTCATTGCAGTCCTCTGTTCTAGCCCGCGTTGAGGGATGCTTTGGGGCTCTACTTTTTGTAGGTTTTTCAGGGATTCTAAAAGACAGTTTTGAGCTTCCAACAATCGCCTCCACTCAGGGCCTGGAACAAGGATACCACAGACTGGATGTAAAATTATCCGTGGGACACCCCTACCCCACCCCTAAGTACTTTTCCATAAGGTTGGGTAACAGTGACAAGCTAAGACTAGTGTCTTTTAACTTCCTTAAGCTATGGTGCTTTTACCCCCACATGCATACACACACACACGCACGCACCCACCCACGCACGCACGCACGCACGCACACACTCACGTTTTCTTGATTTTTCCAATTGAGCCCAGGGGTTTCTTATGTTACTCGCTGGCCTCTGCTGTACCAGAAGATCTGAGATAAGCATGCAGATCAGTATCTACTCCCTGCTCTGCATTCTCTCTGCTCCTTTTAAGGCTCATTTGTAGCTCTAAAAATGAAGGCCGTTCTTGTTAGTAAGTATAACCTGCTCCCTGCCAGTTTAGCATGTTCTGTTCTCAGAGTTCTTTTTGTTCTTTAAAATGTGTTTGGTCGATCCATCCTGTGCTTGTGAACCTTCTACACACTATTGTTAAAAATGCCCTCAAAAAGATATCTTGTATATTTTTGATAGCTATTTTTAAAAAGTCGCCAGTATCTACATGAGGCCTGGTTGCAAGATATGTTAGGGGAAATGATTTTTGTACGTGACAGTGTTTGAAGCCTTGAATAACGACCTGCAGAGCTTGTAGACTGACCGTTCACTTCTTCACTCGTCTCTCTCGTTTTGCTTTCAATGGATTGCCTTCTCCCAAGTGGCTTCCCACTTAATCCCAGAGTGACAAGTCAGTGGTGAAGGTAATTCCCCTATTTCACAATGTTGCTTTGCCTTGACAATATTAACTTAGGATGGGAGCACCCAGTGGTACTTACCAAAGGGATGCAGAAATGCTCCAGGATCTCGATTTCAACCTTCCAGACTGTTCATATGTGCTTTCTGGGCACTTAGCAGGATAGAACTGAGTTCCTCCCAGTAGAGGACAGGGACTTGAGACTCAGAAGGTTTACCTGCCTTCAGGAAGGTCACATCCTTGAGTTTCAAAATCCCGTCTCTGTGTCTAAGAACCTGTCTTAGTCTCAGTCTCCTGTTTGTCCTGCCCACCGGCCAACTTCCACTGGCCAGCTCACATTCATTTCTCTATATGAGGAGCATCTGTTACAGATTATGATTCCATAAATATTTATCCGGTTTCTGTTGCATGCCAAGGACTGGCTGCTTAAGTCTGAATTGGTAATCAAAATGGAAAGTCCCTGCTCAAATGGTGTATAGACTTGAAATCAAATTGCATTCTGTAGAGATTAGAAGATTTAATCTATTGAAAGAAATCACAGTAGACTCTGTCTTCTCTATGGAGGAGATACAACAAGGTCCCCAGTAAATGCCTGAAGCCACAGATAATACTAATCACTCTATATGTTGCTTCCTCAGACGCGGGTGTTCATTCATTTAAATGATAAATGTACTATGTATCTTTGACATAGCAAATGCCGCCATTACTATGCACTTTTGGGGCCATTATTATGTAAAGGTACGAATTACTTAAATGTGAGCACTGTGATGCCCAGTCTGATAGCTGATATGGTTACCAGTGGCTAACGGGAGGGTCCTGTATGCACTGTGGCTACCCTGGCAAAGGGATGATCCCCATCCTAGGTGGGGCAGGGTAGCACAGGGTGGCAGAGCGTCTCTTGCTGCTCAGAAGGGTGCACAACTTAAGACATGTCTTCTCCCTCCCCCTCAGCTCTAGTGCCAGCTCCCCCTTTTTTATTTTGAGGCAAGACCTCAGTAAGTTGCCCAGGTTGTCCTTGAATTCAAGGCCCTCCTCCTATAACCTCCCAGGTATTAGAATGACAGGTCTCTACCAACATAGGAAGCTCTTTCTCATATTTTCTGTTTAATACTTTTGAACTGCGGTTGACCGCAGAGAACTGAGAACTTACATAAAAGGTGAGACTTCTGATTGTCTGTCTGGTTTCTGTCTATATGTCCCATCTAGTCCATGCTGACTTGCATGCGACTTTTCTCTAGAAACTCCTTCCTATGCATCAATGGGATGATGTCAGCAGCTTCCAAGGTGTCCTTTAATCTAATCAAGTAGAACCTAAACTGAACTCTCCTTGTCTTTAATCATGCGCTTCTAGTGTTACTTAGGCAAATGAGAAAGTAAAAGAGGGAGAAGCAGGTAATAGTTGCCTTTCCTACTTGCAAATGGGATGCAAAGCACTTCAAGTTCTTTATTTTTTCAAAAGTTATTTTAATTGTAATTATATAATATAAACAGTTAATATATATACATATATATATATATTGCTACAGAATGAAGGTAATGAAACTTTGCTCATCTTTGCTCAACTGTGTAGCCCAGGCTGGCCTCAAACTCCAGGTCTTCTTGCCTGAGTTTTCTGACCCTCCAGATTGAACTATGTAACCTCACCTGGCTGTTATGCCCAGATTTCTGGGTGTACCCCAAACCACCCTGGAGTTCATACACAGAATAGAGTTGGAGGGCAACCCAGTGAACACGGAATCTGCCTGTGTTTATTTCTCATGATCTTTAAATACCCAAACCCAAAAAGGGAGGAAGAAGGCAAGACTTATTTACCGTGGTACAAACAAGGAACAAACAAAGTAATTACCATTTTAATACCCCACACACCAAGTAACCACACCCTAGGTCCTGTAGTCACACCTTAGGCCAAACCTCTTGTCAGTAACCTTGAAGGAGCATGAATAGTCCTGAACTCTGACCTTTAGTCAGTGTGGAATAGATCCACTTCAGTGGACTCCAACAACATATATACATGCAGACAAAACACCTATAAAATGGAATACAGAAATCAAAACAATTTAAATGTGTGTTCTTTAACCGAGATGCCTTTGCTCCTGATATTATTATAATATTAAAATAGAAATAATTAAAATAGGAATAATTACACAAATCTTAAAATAATCTTAAAAAGCAAGTTTTTTTGTGCATAAAGATATTTATGGAAACATTAGTAATGCTATAAAAAGGTTCCTCTCTCAAAATATATAAAAATGAAAATGGAAAGAAAAAAATAACGTCTACAATAGAGGAATGTTAAGGCAGTTATGATAATGCATATCAATGCTTTAAGCATGTGTTAAAGTATATAACTATAAGGACTTTATAACAGCATTAGAAAGTAAATGAGATTTAGAATGTATGCTATAGTTAGAGATATGTATAATGGTTTAAGTAAAAGGCTGCAGGTTCCCAAGTGGCTGCAGCAGGCAGCGGGCAGTGAGACCATGCCGCAGGTCCCCAACATGGTGGCAGGCAGTGGGCTGAAGAAGGGGAGAAGTGTGGCGGGGAGGGGGGGAAGGGAAAAAGTGGGGAGAAGGGAGAGACTGAAGCTGCCTCTTTGAGAGGAATGATGAAGATCAGCTTTGCTGGGTGGACAGCAGATGGTCCTGGAGGGAGTGCGTGTGGCTTGTCTCTTAAAGGGACAGAGCAGATCATTACAGTGGGTACCATAGTTTGGGTGGTTGCTTTGCACAACACTTAATGTGTCTTTTAATGCATTTCAGAGGTAAAGATTGAGATTCCGATGTTCTTTCAGTGGTTTTTCTGAAAGATTTCTGAATAGAGCTGATATTAATATCTCTAGGATGGAGTGAACTTTCCTTGGCATATTAAGGATTTTTAGTCAGCTGGTTAGGATTTTGCTGGGTTCCAGTGAAAGCTAGCCTTGGCGAGCTGAATTTAGTAAGAATTCATGGTGATGAACATGTCAAATGTCCATGTCAAGTCAGGAGTGAGGGGAAGCCACTGGCTTCTGAGGCCCTGAAGCTTTCCATGACTTTGGAGGGTGCTTATTTAGTGTCTAGGAGAAACCTAATGAGGTGTTATTTAAAATTGTTTTTATTATGCTTATACACACACACACTACATTTATATGTAAGTACACAAACATCATGGTGCACATATATGGAGGTTGGAGGACCATTTATAGGAGTCCATCATCTCCTTCTACCTTCTGGGTTACAGGTAGCAAATTCAGGCCATCAGGTTTGGCAGCAAGTGGCCCTGAGTCATCTCACCAACTCCTGTCTTTCATATTTCACTTGACATTCTAGGAGGACATCTGCAAATAATTTTGGGTGTGATATAGAAACACTCCCAAGATACTGGTAGTGCTATATTGTTGGGACTGGTGACTATTGGTATATAAAAAAAGCCATGCACTAGGCAGAGAACAGGTGTAGATCAGCAGAAGCAAGCATCTAAGACCACAGGATGGATAGACGGTCCACCTACTGATGACCAGAGGAGATGAGGTCATAGAGGTTAGTGTTTCTTTTTTCCATCTAGTCACCAGCATCTCTATTAACCCGAAAAACTATTATCCATGTTAAACTAAAAAAAAAAATAAAATTCAAAGTTGGAGCTGTAACAATTTGTTTAGGAAGTTAAATATCTCATTAAGATCCTGGGCAGAGCTGAGTGCTCCGGGAGTGCTCCAGGGTGCTCCCAGGAGTGCCCCTCAAGAGTTCCCATGAAGATTCTCAGCAGTGGTC